TTCAGCTCCTGTCTCCAGGGTTGTATGGGTTTTCCGGTCACCAAGTGTGACGGCACACCGACGAGCAGCCAAAGCGCGCTGTGTTGTAACTCAGTGAAACAGAAAACTCCTAGCTGACTTGTGAGTGTATATGACTCACGTCTACCTGAAGTCAGATGCGCGATTTCATAATGACAAGGCTGAGACTGTTTCAGTTTCAGGAGAGCAAGCGGAGAGGATGGTGCCGTGGGGTGCTCACGAAAACTGGGGCTGGTGGAACCTGTTAGAAACGGACCTTTTGGTAGCTGACATCGGCTCTCTGAGGGTCAGTATGGCCGGCACATGGGCAGCTTTCCAAAGCAGCTGTTGGATAAAACACTGGTCTGTGTTCACATGGGCGAAAGGACGGTCTTAAACTGGCATATAAAAGTTTTACAAGAGACTACATTTTCTTATATTTTATAAACTTAGGTAAAATTACATTTAACTTTATAAGTAATACAAAGGAGCAAGTAAAGGTTTATTCCATGCTGAAAAGAGAAGAAACGAAACACCGAAAGAAGGCTACACAGCCGAAACATGTTTCTTTTCTTCTCTTTTCAGCATGGAATAAACCTTTACTTGTTCCTTTGCAGCCTACGCCTGCTGACACAGCTACCTCCTTTAACTACTGAGTCATACATACAAATATGTTCTTATAAGTTCTTACACCTACTGTTAGTACATATTGTATTTTAATTCATTTTTAATTTAGCTTTTGTGCAAAAATTGAATGTCATAATATTGTATTATACTAACATGTTGTCAGCTGACCCTCCTGAAAAAGCCTCAATTTTTCACAAGGCCCACCACATTAATGTAGACTATGATTAAATCCAGCCATTTCAGAACAGCTTTATCCACTACAAGGTTGTGGGGGAGCCAGAGTCTATCCAGGTATGCACTTGGCACAAGGCTGGACACAGCCTGCATGGGACACCAGTCCATCACAGGGCAGACAGGGAGACGCAATCCTGCACACACTCACATTCACACCAGGGCCGATTTTCCCAGAAGCCAATGAGCCCACGAGTTTGCCTTTGGGAATGAAAGGAATTCTTCAGTACTACACAACGTGGAGAGGGCGTCAAGAAATGGAGGAGAAAGTCCTTGCGGATCTGAGGAGGGACATTTGCAGGCAAGGGCTTCTCCACAGAGAAGGAACATGGACAGGACTGGGGGCTTTTCACAAAGGCTAAGGACTTCACCAACACACCAGTCTATCTGAAATGGTATGTGTGAACGATTGGACATTCACAGTTTAAGAGTCAGGCTGGAGCCAAGTGGACACAACAGGGGGTTACCGTGTCTCCCAGCCAACAAATTTTGGAAATGTAAATCGTGAACAGAAAGGGTGAAGGACTTGCAAGGCCAAGAAGGAGCGTTTTCGCATCTCTAATGGCCAATCTGTTATCAAGAAGTCTTGAAATCATTGTACTGCATTCAAATAACTTTGTATATATATATATGTCATGGTTGTAATAACATTTATATTTGCAAAAAAAAGGGATATCTTTGAAAGGAAACCCACATGAGCACAGGGAGACTGTACAGATAGCACCCAGTAATTAAACCCCGGTCCCCAGAGCTACAAGGCAGCAATACCAATCACTGCACCACCATGCTGCCTAATGATTCCATTTTAGAGGTCCAACCAGGCATTATGGCAGCTGGGAAGGAAATCTCGCCTTGAAGGAGGATGAAAATCAAAGCTTGACAGATCACAGCTTCACGTTTCATCTAATGCTGTGTGTAAGACACAGAGGGGACTCATGAAAGGGATACTGTGATACTGTGTGATAGGATGTCTGTGTGACACGTGTCACACCAGGTAGCCCAATTGTAAGTACAGCTGTTGACATTTCTTCAACAATAGTCACATACACACTAGTTCAAAATAGGCTAAACTGGTGTGTAGCTGCTCAGAAACCTTTGCTAAGAATAGAAAAGAAAACGTGAAGGAGAAAGCAACCAAGAACTGTATAAAATGCCACTATAATACTGATAGTTTTGTACACAAAGAAGAATATGCAGGTGCCTTTCAGATCGCAACAGGTTTTGTATTGGATATAACCTTTACAGCTTTTTTGCATTGTGGATGTTTTGCTTCTTGTAAATTGACAATGCTTCGCGTAAATGTTTAAAAATGTGAAGTTCTTGGAACTGGATACAGTGTCTATTATTTGTTAGTTTCACATAATTTATTTCTTGGAAATGGTATTCTTGATTGTACTTTCCACATGCCTATTCTCTTGTACGTTTATTATCCCCTGCGGTAATCTGACTCTCTGCAAAGTGCTTTGAGATGATGCTCACTGCGAAAAGGTGAAAATAAAATTTGATCAACTCGATTGAAAAGTAACCTGAGTTATGTTATCAGGAAATACACGCACCCTCACAAGTTACACAACTTATAAAAGAAACAGACTGTCCTCAGAATTTACTTTTACTAGCTCAAAACCTTTGTTTTTTTAATGTCGCTCTTTGTAATCTCTTTTAAAAAAATGTAGCAAAATCAAAGGCAAAACAGACTTCAAGTACAACTGCACTGCATTTTTTTTTCCACGATGCAGGGCAATTAACAAGAAATACCTTTTGAAATACATTACTCATATTAATTTCCATTCTATTTGAAAGAATATTGTCTTGTTCTTCATCTGGAGAAAATGCAGGACAACATAAAACAATTAAACAGTCTACAGGATGTGGAAGTCAATTTTACAGGGGCCACGAATGTCCTCCGCTTTAAAAACAAATGGAATGAATATGTCCTGTACATAGCAGCAGCCTGAGGCTTCCTCTGGCCAATACCAGGTATTGATAACATATTGATATTGATAGTGATGGCTGGTGTATGATATTGTGTAAATTATACTGTATATAATTAGCTCACACCTGAAGAAGGCTCCACAGCCGAAACGTTGTGTTCTCTTTCTTCTTCTTTTTTTCAGCATGGAATAAACCTATTACTTGTATAATTAGACATGCCAGGCAATCGCCTTTTATGGGAGCCACGTAAAAGAAGTCCAATAACGAAATAATTATAGATCGATTCAATATAAACCACAAAAATATATAAAATCTGAAAATACAAGATGACTCAGCAATTTCCATGGATGGATATACTGAATATTTGCATAAACGTTTATTACAAACATAAGGCAATTACACAGACCTGTTTTGAAGCACTGTGCTTCAATAATGATACCATTATTGGATTTTTAATTTTGCTCAGATTTGTCTTACATAAGTCCTATCATTAAAGTACTGTATATATACTGATGGAAAAAAGAAACGCAACACCCCCTCCTCCACACTCTGGCCCTCCCCTCTGCGTGGAACAGGCTGAAGAGTGACTCATCTGTGAAGAGGACCTGATGCCTCTGCTGACGAGTCCGTCGCAGCCTCTGTCTGGCCCAAGCCGGTCGGTGTGACGTCTAGGAGGTGTGAGCAGAGGGCCTCTGACAGGTCACCTTGCTCTAAGGCCAGCAGCATGGAGCCTCACTGTCCTGTCACTGATGCGGGCATTGTGTCTGCTGGCAGTTTCAGCAGCAGTACGGGCGACAGATCTGAAACGATCTCTCAGGTGGACCAGTCTGATATGTCGGTCCTGCTCTGGTGTGGTCACTTGAGGGCGACCGGATCTTGGACGGTCATCTGTCCTGCCGGTCTGCTGAAACCTTCTCTGCAGTTGGGACACAGTGGAGCAGCTCACTCCATAGTGTCTGGCAATGCTGGCACATGACATGGCTGCCTGCAGCATGCCAATGGCCCTCTCCCTTGATTCTGGTGACATTCGAGGCACTATGGGATGCACAGAAAACTGTCTGGCCTTTTTCTTGCAGTGACCTAAGCTTTGAATTAAGGACTTTCAGGCATTGTTCCACCTGGACCTCGTTGGGTAAAAGTGCACCTAACGAGCTTTCGTGTGATTGGCAAGTTACAGTGCCTCACTGCACAAGCTGTATTGCTGGTCAGAGGGCTTAAAACAAGTTGACAACAGTTTGTGAAAGAACATCAGCTATGACTATAGTATTCTCAATTCAGAAAATGTTGCGTTTCTTTTTTCCATCAGTATATTTTGCTGAATACCCTGATATAACGGCAGTTTCCAGGTGAAATGAAAAACCATATAACAGCAAGAGCAACAGTTAAAACATGGTGGGTAGCTGCGTCAGCATGCGTAGGCTGCAAAGGAACAAGTAATAGGTTTATTCCATGCTGAAAAAAAGAAGAAAGAGAACACAACGTTTCGGCCGTGGAGCCTTCTTCAGGTGTTGACCTCAACACCTGAAGAAGGCTCCACGGCCGAAACGTTGTGTTCTCTTTCTTCTTTTTTTCAACAGTTAAAACATGTTTACCCTGAAGTCCCCAGTAAAACAGCAGGGTAAAACTAATCTGTCATTGCTATTTTGACTGCTTGTTGATTTATGAAGTTAAAAACAGAACTGGATTGTGTGGTTTCATTTTTTTCTTGTTTTGTTAAGCAGGTTCTCAAAGGTTTATTGCTTTCAAGTTATGGAAGACTTTAAAATAAGCTGAAAATAATTGATTAGATGAATCTTCTTTAGATCTAATATTGTCTTGCAGTGACATCAAGATACGTGCCAGAACAACTGTAACAGAATCCCAAATTTTAGTTTGAAAATTAATCTGGATAGTATAGAAGATGTGGGAGTATAGAACTATTTACCCAGCCATGTTGCTAATGCCAATACTGTACTTCAGTTTCTTTCAAGTAACAGCTTGGGTGAGAGTCTTGAACCAATTAGCTACTAACTTATACATTAAGTTAGATGTAAATGCCTATTTAAATATACGGTAGAAAGCTGGGGCGACATGTTTTATAAACCACAAATTGTGAAAACCCTGATTATTTGGCTAATTTTAGTTATTGCACATATGCTGTGTTAGAGATAACTGTTGCGCAACCTAACTTGTACCTTTGTCTCTGCGACGGTGCTAATAAAGCTTTTCTTTTTTGAATCCCCTTCCTTTCTGCTGCAAAGATGGCGGAGTACGATCTGACCACCAAGATCGCGCATTTTTTGGATCGCCATTTGGTGTTCCCTTTGCTGGAATTCTTGTCTGTTAAAGAGGTATTTACGTTTTTGTACAGTCCTATCGTTTTTTGTTACCGCTTGTTCTTTTCGCTTTGAGAAATGTTGCGGTAAAGCACATTAAAAGCCACGTGTAGTGTTGCCTATCTATTCAATGGAGCCGGCTATGGGACTAGGCCTCTAAATACGTTATAGATCTTTCGACTTAATTGTAAAAAAGCAGGTAGTCAAGAAATATTGTGGAACACTCTATATAAATGATTAAAAGACCAAGCTTTCGGGATATCCCATTGGATTTTTTAAAATCACAATTGTTTTTTGGTAATAGTTCTGCAGCCTGCTTACCGGACTTATCAAAAAGGTTTTACACTTTACATTTTATACCGCTGTTTTAACAAAGTAAATATTTGTTTTATAACAAACAATGCAACAGAGTGTCGTATGATATTTCACCTAAGCCTAGCTAATAAACATTTAATTTCGCTGAATTAAAGAAGCCGGTTTCTGTGTTGCTCTTGTTCTACGTATAATAAGGCTGTGAACTGGCTACAAATCTCAGGGAGGTGCCTGGGTATATTCGGTAAAGACCACAGTAGTTTTCTATTTCAGAAAGCGACGTCATGTTGCAGTGAATTTCGCCTTGCGTATTGATAAAGCATGTTCACTTTGAATTATTGCCGCACCCTTAGTCGCTGATCACACTGGCTAAATGCAATGCCTTTTACCCCGTGAAACTAACGTAAATAACTAGTGCACCTCTCTTCCTTGATTCATTAAAATCGACCCTTGTGCGTTTCTAATGCTGTGATGTGTGGTGCATTGTATATCATTGTACTCGTGCTTGCCCTTTTATTTTCCGAATCTCGTTACCTTGTAGTGTTAAAGGTGATCCCTAAACAGTGCTGATGAAAAGATATGTTGTTCTTGGACAGTAAAATGTGTATACAATTTAATGCTGGAAACCGAGAGTAGTCCCTGTAAGACCAGTCAGAATTCTGCTTATTCTGATAATAGGAAGGTCTTTATCTCCAGACTGATGCTCTAAAGCGGTTGTCTTGTTTACTGTGCGAGCTCCGAAGCACAGGCTCTTCAGATTTCTATGTTGTTGAGTCACAATGATTTAGGTTTTTAAACTAAGACATTTGCGTGACAGTTTCATCTTTTGGGGGTAATGCCACACTTTTTTGACGTCACGAGAACTGACCATAGATCTGAGGATTGCGTTGGCTCATTCTTCTCCTGTTATCACAGTAATCTTGGGAACAGGTAATAGGTTTATTCCATGCTGAAAAGAGAAGAAAGAAAACGCAACGTTTGGCCGTGGAGCTGAAATGTTCTGATACCACACAGTAATCTTAAATTGCTTAAATGTGTATCGTGTCTTTATGTGTCTATGTATATATGGTATGTTTGTATGTGTATAGTGTATGAGTGACTCACAGAGTCAAATTCCTTGTAAGTGAAAACTTACTTGGCCAATAATCTATCTAACCACTGTAGAGTTGTGTTTTGGGCTCTGGACTCCCCACTAGAGAGAATGAGTTGTGGGTTCAAATTCCAGCTAGGTTACTTCTGTTGTACCCTAATGCAATGTACTTAACTCTGTTTGCCCCAGTAAATGTCCTCTTGTGTAAATATATACTCCCCAAGATGTTCCACAGGACAGTTTGTTCTCGCATGTGACTAACTTGGTAAAATGAAGGATGCATAATTTGAAGGATGAAGGATGCATAAATGTACTGCATTGCGTTAAACACTTCATCCATTCATTATGTGACTGGGGAGGGAGAACCAACAGTTAGCAAAACTGCATTTAAGTTACATGCCATCTCTAAATACTGGTGCAGATATTTTGTTGAGACCTAAATGTGTTTTGAATCATTCAAAAACAATGCCTCTTAACCCCCCTTCTGGGCTTTGCAGGATTTTTGGTTGCTGAAATACTCAAGTTAAGTGCATTATTTCCAGTAACTTCAGAACTTCATGCAGTTTCTCTTCAGCTTACTTTCTGAGAATTTGCTGCCTTTATTTATGACTGAACAGCCCTTAAGAGGTGATACATTTCATGTTGATCGACACAGGTAAGAATGACACTATTAGTGTCGCTCTGATGCAGTGTTAAATAAACTCTTAGGGTGATTTTCTGCTTTCTAAGGTTTAATGGTGAAAAATCAGACTGTATTTTAGCTACCACACCAAAAATAAGGCCAGTTTAAGTTAAATTTACAATTTAGATAGCTAATTCAAACAGTCATCCCAATAAGAAATCTCATTCAACTTTTCAACAGCTGAAAGCAAATAAAAAAAAAACTCCAATAAAAAATGAAATAAAATGCTCGTGGTTAAGCACTTTGCTGGAATAAAAACCAGAAGGGAGGGGAGTTACCCGGAACTTGGACTGAGAACCACTGTACTAGGGTATTTTCTAAACCAAGGCCTGACTGCAGAAAAGCCTAAACCACCAAGCAGATCAATTACTGGCTGTAATTAGCACTGGTGATTAAGGGCTGGAACAAAAGCTAGCAGAGACAGAGGTTCTTCAGGACCAGGTTCAAGAACTGCTGATTTAAGCAATCAGCAAATAAAAACATTAGTTCCTGGTACTTCTGGATTAAGTGATTAGACCACAGAATATATTGATCCAGAAGTTCTCCTTTATTGTGAAAAACAGCATGTTGGTGTCCTTTGTTACATATGTCTGGAATGCTCAATCTACCAAACGCTTAGAGAAGAGTGAACATCCTTTTCATTTTCTCATTTGCTGCAGTACTTTTCCAGGATGTGTCTAGCCAATCCCAGTTGAATACAGACACTGGTCGGAGTGGGGAGGTCATGGCATGCCAGCCAAGCCTGAAAATGGACATTTGGGTGTCTACCATGTGTGCTAGAAAGGTTTCTGAGGAGGCAGAAGCAGGGGCGCCGTATAAATGGCTGACCTTGCGTTCTGAATCCAAGCTTCTCTACCCCTTGAAAAGACAAATTCCTAATGCAAGAAATTGTATATGACAAATAAAGCAATGTTATCTTTTTTTTGCACACATCCACTTTTCCACCAATTGGTTCCAAGCAGTTGGAACAGTAATACTACATCCCTATACTTTATCTTCCAGCAGGTTGATCAAGGTTGGAATCTTCATTTTTGAGTACACTGCTTTAACACACTCTGCTGCCACCTTAGATCATCTGTGATCCACAGAAGATGGCGATTTTGTTACTCAAATGTCAGCATGTTACCCCAGAATGGCCTCCAAAGAAGCAGATAATTTCCATGCAGATAGTAAACTGCAGCTGTTCTGCTTGTGCACGGGTTATTTCTTCCTGGTGACCCCTGTTTTCTTGGATCTGGCCTGCCTCTCACAGAGCCAGTTGTCTGTGAACTAAAGAGTGCATAAAATAGTTTAGCACCATAACACGATTAAAGTATAAAATAATCTTGTATTTTTATGACTTTTTTTGCATTTTTAAACTTGCGTTCTTATTTCACAAGACTGAAATGTGTTAAATTTGACTTAGGCAACAGTTTCTGGAGCCAAACTCATGTAAGTTGAGGGCTTTATACTTTTTAACTTTTGTTAGTTTCAATCTGGACTCGTGAAATAAATGTTAAGACGTATTTTCATGGAAATATACAGAAAAACAATTAGTACAGCTTTAAATCAAAGAATTTTCAAGGACTGAGAGCAGAAAAAACATCTACCCCCAAAATCAAAGAACTAGCTGAAGCGAATCATTGCATTTCGTTTGCGGTCCGTCTGGGGATCCTTAGTGGTGTGTCCTGTAATTTTTTTTTCATCTGGATTATTGTTTTTCTTTTACAGATTTACAATGAGAAGGAACTTCTGCAAGGAAAGCTGGACCTGCTCAGTGACACCAACATGGTGGACTTCGCCATGGATGTTTACAAAAACCTGTACCCTGACAAGGAGATTCCCCACTGTGAGCACCTTGTCATCGATTTGCACTTAGCATTGCAAGCAGTTCAGGGCTTGCGTCCAAGCCTAAAGTGTTTTCTGTGAATTGGTGTGTCCTTCAGCCACACAGTAATTACATTAAATTCCAGCTTTTGCCTTGTGTATTCCTGGAAATTTGTATGGAACATTATCAGAGATGTTTGAACATTTGTGCTGAACAGTACTCAATTACAAATCGGAATCCTGCTGCAGAATACTTTCCAAGTGTTTGCAAAGGAGACAGAGAACTCGCCCGAGAGGAGTATAAAGCATGTCACCATTTTAGTGGGGTTTTTTTTCCGGTCCTGTTCTCTGACCTTGAGAAAAACAGAGGAAAGATGCTGCATGCCCGTTGACAACAGAATTTAAAGCAATCTCATGCCTAATTCTTTCATCTGTAATCTGGCATACGAACAATAGGAACTGTTAGTTCTGAAAGTAGGTGTTCATTATAGAAATGTCTGTAGGGGAATATTATCATGCGAAGTTAGTTTTACTGTAGTAATTACAATCGTAATTGATATAATTGATATAATTTTGCATTGACAGTCATTACGTAAGGATTCCCAAAACTTACAAAATTATTGCAAATCGTTAAATCGTCATCTTATTTTAGTAATTTTATGAGAAAACTGTTAGAAGAGGCACTTATATTCACACAAGATGCCCAGAGTGCGTATTTACTGTTGCAAACCAGCCCCTACCTGATTATGTCCAGCTTCTTAATGGGATGGTTTTGACTTTTTTGAAAAGGAAAGCGTATAAATCCAAAGGACATTGTGCCAAATTTCCCCTTTCCTTCTCATCTTTTCCCACCTCTTGATTTTTAGCCTTGAGGGAGAAGAGAACTACAGTTGTGGCGCAACTGAAGCAACTGCAGTCTGAAACAGAGCCCATTGTGAAAATGTTTGAAGATCCAGAAACCACCAGGCAGATGCAGTCCACAAGGTAAGGCTGCTTACGTGTAAGCTGACTAACCTGATGTTATATATTCGCAAATCTGTCCCAGCTTGCCTCTTACTTAATGGTATGATTAAGTACAAGATACTCCAGCCATGACCCACAAGACATGTTTTCTAGACACAATGCGTTAGGTTCAGTCACCTTGCATTAGTTACCTGATATTATGTCTTACATCCTTAACTTCAGCGTTAAAGTAATTTAGCAATTTGACTTGCTTTGTTAACATTACCATTCTGATTAGCAACAGCGATAAAACATAGGAAGTAAAGATTGCGGTGATTAAAAACAAGAGTTAATATGCTTTCAAGTGGACAATGGGCATTTTACCGAGAATGACACATGGTCTCTTGAAGGTGTAAAATTTAAGCATAATGATCATCACTACAATGTATTTAATGGTAGAATGTTGGTATAGCTAGTTTGCAACACTTTGAAGCAGAAGAATATGAATCATTATAGATGGGTGGCTGATGTGAGAACGTGACGATTAAACCCAGTCGCTGCGGTTTGTGAATATTTTACGTTTCTTAGTAATAAAAAGTTCATCCTTGATAAAATACAACAAAATGTAGAATGCCGTGAATTCAGCATTCTTGCATTTGCCTATTCGCGGTTTGGTCTGGCCAGCAGAGTCTGTGATGAGAGAAGAGCAGAGTGGGATGAAACCGAGCCGAAGGTTTGTTTAACTTTGAACTTTCAACTTGGCGGCACGACAGCCGAGGGTGGCGAGACGAATCTACAGTAGCAAGTGAGGGAGCCCCTGCCTGCGGCCCCCCAGGCACTTCCTACTCGGGGTCCTCATCTCCGCGCGGTCTTGTTTTTCTGTTGTAACGGGGAATGACAAAGGCTGGCGAGGACTTTAGAGGCTCTCTTCCAGTTTTATTGCCCTTTTCATTACAGTGGGGCGTGCTGATCACAGAGACGGAGAGAAAAAGTGCAGGAATCTGCTGGATGCGAGAATTCATGATAATATTATCACTGATTACTATAAGCTTGTGGTTACTGTTGTTTTTTAGCTGATTGGTTTAAATTAACTTAAAGACTGCATTAGTACTTTATTATATAGGTAGTGTTACTTATCTTTTAAGTATGTATTCTATGTACTGTATACATTATGTGACAGTACAGTGGAGGAGTTGATTATATGCGAATTGGGCTAGTTAAGACTATTGAGACCTTAATATATATATATAAATTCATGTATGTTCCGGGGGATTTGTTCTTAAACATTTATAGCCACAGCCTGTTTTTACAGTTGCTTTCCTCATTTGGGTAGATATTTCCTAGTAAGACTTCACACCCAAACAAACCCTTCTTAAGATTTCACTCAACTGTTAATATACAACAGCTTGTTTTTGCATTGGTAGTAATCATAAAGAGCGTTTTTTACTTTATAGAATTTTGTGAATGCTGATGAATGGGGTGAAATCTAAGTATTTGGTCAATTAAATAGGAATGTTACTTTGAAAATAAATTGTTTTGCACATTAGCCTTTCTTTTCAGTTTCATTGAATGGGTCACTGTTACTATCTGCAAATTGTGACTAAAAAAAAAAGTTGTGGTTACTGTTGTTTACTGAAGCTATTTAGTCCTTCCAGACAGCACCATGATTAAAATATTTTGGTTAGATTTAACCTTCAGCATTTGTTTGGATTCTTGGCCTGAAGCTATAAGATTTGTCCAAGATATTTTTTCATCATAAACTAGATCCAGGATAAATTCACATTTTTTTGGTGTTGGTTAATGTCTTCTTTTTTTTTTTTTGTATGACCTATGTTATAGTTAGCAAATTGTATTCACTTCATTTTTGTATGTAATCTTGTATTTGATTCTAGCACTCTGCAATTATTTTTGAGACCTAGTTGGACAAACACAGGATTTGGTTCAGTTGTTGGGACAGTACTCTTCAGTTTCGAGGAATTCAAACCCTGCTAGAAAGCAGATTTTACAGTACTGCTTTGGGTTACATCTTCATTCTAAAAAAAAAAACATCTAAACATGTTGAGAGCAATTAAACAGGTGATTTGTGGAATTCAGTCATTTGGAAATTAAGGTATTTTAAGTAATAGTAATTGAGACTTCATCCCTCAGAAATGAAAGTTGTCATTTTTAATATATATTAAGATCAAGTGACTTGCAGTTGTTGCTAATCGACAGGCGTAGGGTTACCTGTGAACTGTACTAGATTGGAGTTTCCATGATCAGGATTGGACACATTTTTCTTCTTAAGAGCATTTTGGTTTGTCCGCTATTTAATTTAAGCTTAAATTAATAAGGGTGCTGCAGGGGTAAAATAACGGATGCAAAGACAAAATTATTATTGAAATTTAAATTCCTTAATAGGTTAAGTCCTTTGGCACCAAAAAGAAGAAAATTGCAGTGCTGTGAAAACAGGGTTTTGTTTTCTTCATTTTGCCATTCACTATAATTAGGTTCATGAGCAGCATATGGAACATTTTTTTGTTCCATAAAGTTATTTTTGTTATGGAAGGGTTTTTTCAATATGGAAAGGCACACAAACCAAATATATCAGTATAGCTGAAATAATGCTGTAAACTGTGTATATGTGCAGACTTGTTACATAACTAATGAGTTCAAAATTAATTTAAAATGATTATTTCAAAGGAGTGTTGCAGTAAAACGTTGCAGACGCAGTTTAACCTCTTTGCTGCCACAGCATTTTGGAACGCTTTTAAAATGCACAATTTTAAATTTACAATTTTTTTTTTTGTCTGAATAACTGATGTATCAATCATTAAATAGGCCTACCAGTAACTCCTTTAAGGTCAGAATATTTAATTCTCATTAAACATTGGGTTCAGTAAGTTTTGAAGGATGTGGTATTCCCTCAAAATTGTTTTATTTCTTTTGTTCCCATTTCATTTTGGCTAAAGATAAAAATGTGGTTAAATACTAGAGTACATTTAATAAAACTGCGTGCAAGGCATTCTGGTTCTAGTTAGTAACCACTTTGATATATGGTTTACTCCAGATATTGACAACTTGGTGACTCGATTGCTAAGCAGCATAAGAGAAGGAAACAACGTGACAGTTTAAAACCTTTGATGATGGGGATATTGGTTAAGCTAGATCTTTTTCTCCCAGAATGTGTAACTTCTGATGTTATTAAATTACAATCAAATGTTTGATATCAAAATATGACAGTTCATTAGGGCATCCATTTCAGCAGGAAGTTCATTTGGTTTCAAATGGCATGTTTTTCCTCACATTGATTTCAGCATTTTTTGAAATATTTTGTGCATACTGTCACAGCCAC